CCCCGCCCCGGGTCTAGCTTGCTCTCTGGTGATCGGACCAGCATGCTGCTGCTTTAGCTAGTTCTCTGCCTCACACTGTGTGCTACATTACCTGTGAGCCAAGCCAACCTATGGATCATGTTGCTAGAACTTGAGGCTCCTTTGAGGCCTGCTTCACCGTACTGCTGGTGCGTACATTGCTTAAGCTTGAGGCTGGTGGATCCTGTCATCTTGTATTGTTTGCATTCAATATCCCATCCTGGCCTGCTTCACTAAGCTCCCGCGCTACCGACTGTTGGTGACCCACCTTGCTGTTTGCTGCCTGTGGGCAGACTCTGCTTGCCTTGCCCAAGGAGGACTCCACTGTCTGCTTCTGTGACCTTGGACCCAGAAGCCCATTTGAGTTGAAGGACTTCCAGTATATTAACTGTTCCATGGAAGTGAGTTGAACTGAACCCTCTGTCCTGCTGTGTGGACTAATTAATTGTTATATTCCTTCTCTCTGTGTAAACCTATCCCCTTAGACATATATAATGATAAGTGTCCTGGTTTTGTTTCTCTACAGAACCCTGCCTAACACAAACAACAGTCTGTGATGACCCATAAGGTTTTCATTGGCCAACTTTTGGAAGCAGATTGCCGGGCCTGTTTTCCTAGTCTGTCTTAGTCTAGAAGCTCTGCCTGAACCTGCCTAGCATGGGTGATTCTGCTGAAATGTGAAAGACTGGTGACATGGCTTCTAGCAGCATAGCTACACACAAGCCACCAGAGTATGACAAACTGACAGATGGGTAATGAATTTGGGAGACATGTTGAAACAGAAAATGAATTCAGTGACTTTTTGAAATTCACGTTTCTGTAAGCACCCTGTCTTCTTGTTTGGCTTCTCTCTCCAAATCTAGCCACCCGGCCTACAGGCAGTTTCAGTGATGTTGATGCTGAGGTAAATATGCACCCCAAGTGGGAGGGAAGCCTCTTAGAAGTCCATTTTGCTTCTAGGCGCTACAACTGAACATATTCTTTGGTCTGTAAGAGGTATCAAGAATATCTTTGCTCCTTAAGCAAATGTTAAGGAGCTCTGGAGGCACGGTGGTTCAGCGCTCACCTGCTAATGGGAAAAGCCAGCTGTTGGAATCCACCAGCCACTCCGGGTGGGGTGGGAGTGGGGGTGGTGTGCCAGTCTGCTATTGTAAAGATTGCAGCCTCGCAAACACTACAGGGCAGCTCCACTCTATCCTACAGGGCTCCTAAGAGTTGGCATCGGTTTCAAAGGAACAGTTTGGGGGAGTTGCTAGTTTAAGCAAATTTAGGACTGCACAGTAATCTTCCTGGCCACCTCATATCACCACAGTCAAGAAGACACGCCTTCTTCCAGCAGGCAGTGGCCATGAGCAGGAAAGCCCCAACGATTCCGGGCGGGTGCGAAGCCTTCCGAAGCCCTCAACCCTCCTCCCTCAGGGCCACTTCCATCACCCACCTTTCACGATGAGCCAGATGTCCACCTCCCTGATGCCCACGAGGTTCTCAGCCCGGCAAACATAGTAGCCACCATCCAGGTGCTGCGAGCAGTTTCGGATGGTCAGGGTGGAGCTCTGGCCATGCTGGCTGATAATATAATGGTCACTGGACTCAATGGTCACCTTGGGCTGGGTGAGGTTCCTCAACCACAGGATCTTGGCAGAGGGGTAGGCGTCAGACACTTGGCAGGTGAGTGTCACGTTGCCCCCGACCAAGCACGTCTTCATCGGATCAGACAGAAGGGAGGGGCTCCCTGGAGATCAGGAGAAGGTCAAGAAAGACAGTTCTTAAAGGTGATTCGAGCGATGGCCCAAGAACGCCCAAGAATATTGTTTCCTTTCTCGTGAAAAAGTCCAGGAATTTCTATACCGCACATGGCCTTATAGAACACTTAGTAGCTTATGTAGGCACCATTACCCCTATGAACCGAATTCATTCCCCCAACAACCCTTATTAGAACCATCTTTTCAGGTAAGAACACTGAACCTAGAAAAGTTAACTCACTTAAAGTTCTACAGCTAAGGGAGTGGTGGGGCTAGAATTCTGGCGGGCCCTGAACTGAGAAAGTTCCTGGGACAGGAGCTTTCAGTGTTAAACCCAGGCAAACTGGCATTGAACGATTCACTGTATGTGTTAAAGATGGAGGAAGAGGCCACTAGCCAAGGAAATCAGGTGGCTTTTGGAATCTGGAAAAGACAAGGAAATGGATTCGTCCTGAGAGCCTCCAAAAGAATAGCGTCTTACTGACTCATTCTGGACTCGTGACCCCCGAACTGTAGGAAAATGCAGTTGTGTCGTTAGAAGCCACTGGGTTTGTGGTAATTCGTTACAACGGCGGTAGGAAAACAACACACCTAGCAACAATACGCCTAGGTTATCTACCCAAGAGAAAGGAGACCCTATGTCCACGGCAAAACATGGGCACAGATGTTTGAAGCAGCATTAGCCACCGGAGCCCCAAACCGGACATCTCAATGTACCTCAGCTGGTGAGGGGACACCCAAAATGATTATACAGGCAATAGAATGAAAACTAAATCCTGAACACAGCTACAGAGTGGGAGAATCTC